GGGCCAGCATCTTCGCGAGCATGAGCGCTTCATATCAGCTTCTGGTGTTGCTAATACGCATGTTCCAGTTGGCATCGTTGCACAAGTGCAAGCAACTGGCTATGTAAACATCTGCAACTCTTTAACATATGTCTGTGCGTGCAACATTTGTACATATTGTTACCCAGCACCTCCACCAATATGTTACGGGTTCAGTGACTTCTGTAGAAACGCAATTACAGAGGAACAAACTCAGGCGAGAATCACAATGGCTGATTGGCACACTCGCGCGCCTGTCTGCTGATTTTTTCCTTCATCTTCCTTTACTTCGTAACAATATATTTAGCGTAATTTCATGACGTGTCACTCAATAAAAACACATTTTCAACACGGTCAACTTCCTCCGCATGCTTCGCATGGCGTCGATTTCCAGGTACGTGGGATGTGCCGATTTTTTTTTTTCATTGTAAAATAAGTGTTTTGGGTTAGCTGTGTCTTTAGTGCCCCTTTTGTTCAATTTACACGTTTATGTTCTGAATTTTCGTCCGAATTCTGCATATAACCAAATCCCCTTTAAAACACATTTCTTTTCTGGGAGTTTATCAATTTCGTAATATTCAGGTTTAACTGTAATAAGAAAGACATAGGGAGAATGTAGTGCTATATTACAGCCCATGACCAGGACGAATTTTAACGCAACTAAGAAGCTTTTGTTTCTGGGAAATCCGTATGGATTTCTTCTTGGCTTTGTGCTATAAACGGGTGATTGTCTTCTATGATTGTTGTATGGGTTAAATTCAACATCCCGAAACCACCATATAATTATGAGAGACGCCGCGGTGGAGGGCTCCGGACCATTTGAACCCCTGGGATTGTCTTTTTTTCCTTTCCTAAAATGAAAAATTAGTGAGGGAACTGAGATTTATAAGAAATGTATCTTACGTTTTGCTTCCTGCGAGTTTTTTCATCATTGGTACTGTTTTTTTTTCTCATTTTGTGCGATGTGGATACGGACACCGGCAGCAGCGGACAATTATGGCTGTTATGAGATCCAAATTGGGGTCACGCGCGGCGTGACCCAAGTTTGGATCTCATAACAGTTTTCCCTGTAAAAAGTTCTTGGTAAAGCATTTAACAACACATATGCGTTGAAAATATTAGTTTTTTTCTAAAAGAGTCATAATGCACTTTAAGTCAAACTGAGAAAAATGCACCTTCTTACGTACCTTCTATATGATTGGGCCTTCCATATGCACCTTCGATACGGTTGGGCCTGCTCAAACAACTTTTTGCCAGTATGTTCGTCTCCCCTAAGTGCCAAAAATTTATGATGTCGCTGAAATATACATAGCCAAATATCAACAATATTGCGAAGCGAAGTTTGTATTTGGTTTATATAGGCTGAAACTTTTCATTTGGTGATGAATTAGGTAGTGAAAAATTGTAAAAGATTCTATTGGAATGTACAGCAATATTTCGTGACGGAATTGACATCACACTTGTGCTTCCGTAATGGCCGTGCTTCCACGCATGGGCGTAATGGCAATTACTAGACTTGAAGAGCGAGTGGTCGTTCCTGGCCAAAGGGGCACTATCCTGGACTGTCATCGTGGTTTTCTTGTTCCTGGCATCATGAAGGCTTTGAAAGTGTTCCAGTTAGTTTTATGCCATGTCTTTTCTGGCCACGTCTTCTTGTTTAGGAAATAGATAGATTACTGACATCTGTATTTCATACCTACTTTACCTGAATTATACCGTGAAGTGAACGGAGGACAAGATACTGTTTCGCTAAAGTCGAGAACAATCACTAAGACGCAAAAAAATGAGAAATTCAGCCTCTTACTTTTTACAATTGACTTTTGTCACTAAACATTATGTCCTTCAATAAATGCCAACTCGCACTAGAAAACCTAGTTGGGGAACGTGAACACGATAACAAAGCAACTAAGACACAAATGAAACATTTCGGGGAGGAGGGGGACTAAGTTGTTTATTTTGATCGTGTTTGTTGGTGCAGAGTTGGTTCAATGAATGTGACTCACTTTGATTGAAACAGTTGGAGTACTTGGCTAATTTTTTTTAGAAACTGCCTTTTCGAGCTCATGATACAATAACGAATCGCCCCTATTTCGAGTAGAACTGTTCTAGAAATTGAAGATACTTAGGCATGTTTTACGTGTCACTAAAATTTAGCCTAGTTTAGGTTTCTGCATCTGCCTCTTTTAGAAAAATAAAAAAAAGCCTCACAAGCTATTCGCATTCATAAGAGCGAGATAACCTAAGAGTTAATCGGTGGTTCTAATAACATATACGAAAAAATGGCGAACCCTTTACCCTCACCTGTACGAGTTAAACGCGATAGCGAAATCCTGTTTCTAGTGCGTACTTGAAACACTTTGTGCATACTTTTTATTGTGATAGCAATTATATGAACACTCTCGGCTGAATTTTGCCGCCGGCGTCGGCATCACCGTCACTCAGCGTATATATATATACGTATCTATATGTATGAAAACGCAAGAAAAAATACTCAAAGCAAAAAAAAAGACTGCAGCGAGCGCAATCGAACGTGGGACTTCTGCGAGAATGACTGTGAGGCGTTTACCACTGAGCCACAATGAAGTACCTCCTTTAGCATACATACGACAAGCTATTTATATCTACCACTTACCGCTGGTGACGAGTATTTCGGAGGAGACTATCGTGATTTCAGCATTACGAGCGAGATGGCTCAATGAGCGCGCGTCGCCACAACGTCACGACGCGATGGCGCACACTCCCAACTCCCAGGCGTACTCTGCCGCGCGGAGAGGGAGCAGGTTGGACATTAACGCGCGCACCCATCTTGCGATGGGAACAATCATACGTCTTGACTGGCCTTGGGCTTTCACCGAAACGATTCTGTTGTAGTTGCCGGGCGCACAAAGGTCACTGAAATTGTTGCACAGTCTCCATTTGCAAAAGGGGCACGCTTTTCAGACACAGAAATGTAACAACTGAGACGCTTATTCGCGTTCATTTGTGCCCGTGGGTAGGTTTCGTGTGTCATTTGTACTTGAGAAACGGGGGGGCAAGTTTCGATCTGCCTGCCATTCTGCACATGACGTTCCCATTTGTTGCTATCACGTTCATTGCTTCGCCTTTCCGAAAAAATTGTGACTTTTTATTGTGTGATTTTACTCGAGAAGCTTAAATTGTGAATTACTAAAATGCAATTGACAAAGCGTAAGTGAAGCTTGGTCCCATTGAAAGAAAGTTTATTCTCTCTCTCTCGCATGCGGCTGCATTCTGTTAAAAGGGTAGCACGCTTTAAACCATGAGCGATTCGGCGGATAAAATATTTTTGAACTTGCTATGCACCCACCACGTGCGCTTAAGAGAATAAGCATCTGAACGTGTGTGCCTTTTCTGATGTGTTGCAAGCTTTAAGTGAAAAACTGGCAATGATAACCACGTGTTTTGACACCCAAGGCACTGCAAGCTTGTACTACGCAATATTACTGCAGTATTCCATGGTGTATTGTGAAGCCTCTATACAGAACGCGTGGGTTTCGAAAGCAAGAATTATTTTCACAGTATTTCCAAGCAGAGGAAGTTATTTCCGCAATTTTTTCAAGCAGTCGTATGGCTGTGTGGTTGAAGACGTGCTTGCCGCACAAATGGCCTGGGTTCTATCCTCACTCGGATTGCAAATTTATTCTATATTTCATTTCCTTCTCTTGCGAATTTTCAGTCCCGGAAACGATGATTTTTCGTTCATAACAAACGACGCAGACGCCGACACTGAAAACGATGCTAAAATGTCTGCGAAATGAGCTCTTCAACGCTATCGTGGTAATCGTAATACTAATAAAGTGTATTATTGAGGTCTAACATCCGAAAACCACGATTGATTATGACGGCTGCTGCAATGAAGGGCTCCAGAAATTTCTATCACCAGGGGTTATTTAATGTGCACCTAAATGTAAATACGTGGGCCTCAAGCATTGCTGCCTTCATCTAAAATTTTGCGTAATATGATATCGCGAGTATGCTCACGACTCACAATAAATTAGGATATTTCAATAAAATTTGGCAAGATAAAAAATCACCGCATATCCACAGATTGAATGATAGTGAGTGGGTCGAAGCGCCCGTGCTTGTATCCGTGCTTCTGCCCATCCATCCGTTTGCGCTTCCGTCCGTTCATGCGTCCGTCCTTTTGTTGGTCCGTGCGTCCCATCTCACGCCCATCCGCCAGTACGTCCGTCAACGCGTCCGTCCGTCCTCCATCTTTCTGTCTGTCCGTCTGTCTGTTTATATGTTTTGTGCGCCCATCCATCCGTCCGTCCATATATGTCTGTGTCTCTGGCTGTCTAACTATCCATCCCTCCGTCTCTCTCTGTCTGTCTGTCCATGCGTGCGTGAATCCACCCATCCATCCGCCCGTGTGTCCATCCGTTGGTGCATGCTTCCATGCGTCCGATCACGTTCGAGAATGCAGACGGTGCGCAGGTGACACCGACGAGACGCGAGTCAAGGTAGCCGAGCGCTAGCGTCTTCAACGCGCCCGCCACTCTGCTTTGTCTATGCCCCACCAATGATCCGAAACGTACGGCGACGATCCAGTGACTGAGAGAGGCACTCGTTTCCCGTGCGCTCATGCAAAGCGCGCGCAGCAGCTAATCGGAGAGTAGCGGCACTTCGTAGAGTAGCGAAGAGTAACTCCATCTGGGAATTGAGACGAGATTAACTTCCGTTCTTTCTTGTCTCTTCTTCTCTCGGTTACGTGTGACGCGTGATAAGGTTAGCCTAAACGGAGCTTCACCCCTAAAACCACCGGGTTCATCTGATCTCAAATATTTGCATCACATCATTTCATTTTTTGTCAGTAGAAAGAAATAATGGGTAGAGGAGAATAATAACATAGCAAAACAAAAACATGAAACTTAGAGAACCAACGCTGAAAAACTTCAAGCCGCAGCGTCGTACAACACGCAGCTTGGCGTGACTGCCTGGTGAAGAATAGGTGGCGCACTCACCAAGTGGTTGAGGTGTACTGCGGGTGCGCAGGAACACAGCGGAAGATGTGTGACTCCCGGTAACGCAGCGATGCGTCACGTGGTGATTGACGCACGTCCAGGAGATCCTCCTCGTCAAATCCTCGGCTTTTACCCGTCTGATCTTTCGGACCTGAGGGCCGGAACAATTTTTCGACTGTAGTAAGCAATCCACGAATGGCTACACTACATCTCTATCTTTGAAAAAAAAAACATAAGACAACTCCCACATATACATCATACCACTTTTATGCAAACCTAATACTACTTCGTGGACGACACGTCTTGCGTTATGCTTCAAGGAGCCACCATTTGCAATAAGAACCATCGCCCACTCAAACAACATAATTGCCGCTGATTGCAAAGTTTGGCGTATTTCTTCGGAGATGTTACGGTGCGCGCACTTAAATTGCCGGAGTCTATTCCCACTTTTATGCAATAGACGTAGTTGTTATGAAGAAACAAGACAACATTCCTTACTATGACATGACTAAGGAAGCATGACGAGGCAACCATAAGCCGATATCGTGAACACTTCTAACGTTAGAACACCAGTGAAAATCAAGATGGGTGGCATAGGAATAGATGAAATATGTACTGCGTTTGTGTTATGTCTCCTTTGTGGTCCCCGGTGGTTTGCGCTGAAGCTATCGAAACAATGACGATTTTCTATTTGCTTGCGATGACCTTTCTTAACCTTAATAAGAACCTAAGCCCACCGTTGAAGTTAAAGTCAGCAGCTAGAATATAGCTTTTCACTATATGTGACAGCCAATAATCAATGTATCTATGCTGAATGAATTCATTGTTTATGTCACATATACATTTTGTTTTTACTTGCTCTTTTTCTCCGATTTTCTCCATTCTGGTACTTGTTGATTTGAGCAGTGTATCAGACCTATACTAGCATTATGCCTAAAAAGCAACGAATATCTGCTCCTAATTTCTTTAATCGCCGGAATTTAATTGCCTGAATTTGCTGCACCAGCCTCAACAATCTTGTGCAGCGCCTTTTCTTCATTTTTTTTAAATACAGGAAAGGCTGTCGCGTTTTACGCCTACAGTCCATTTTCTTTTTCTCTGAAATGATACATAGAGCTTGGGCACTGGTTCGCTTAAAATTAGGACTCTGACAGTGACAACAATAAGCACAAGTTGTGCTGTTGCCGTGGCAGCAATCGAAACGCGGCTGCAAGGAAAACTATAGCGGGTCGACATCGTCGCGTGCAGACGTGTGAGAAGTGCCTTCGACCTGTTGCTTCCGTGGAGCTCATTCTGTGTACACCAAGTCACGCGAGTTGTTGCCACGGTCGCCATAATTGTCATCTTTTTGACATTATCGTGTTGGTTGTGCACGCGAAAACACTGTCCCAGAAAATACCAGCCTGTACAGACTGGCATGTTTTTTGTTTGCTTTTTTTTTGGTGGAAATAAAAATGGCGGAAAACATGGTTTCGCTATTTCATTTTTACACCTACGACGTGCCATTGAGACGGGAACTACCATTCGCACAGGCGCAGTTTGTATAAAAAATTAAAAAGAAACAAGAAAAACATCGTCCTTTCTCTCCGCTCACAACGTACGAAGGTTTTTAGGGAGGCGTTGAAGCAACAATGTTACAGTGTATGAGAGGCTGAGTTTGTTCACAGATCCTGCAGCCCTATTTCTTCATGGCATTTTTTTACAACTACCCAATCAAACAATTTTGATAACCATTAGGTTTCCACCATCACGATCGTCCATTGGTTATAAAATTCGACTGCGTATACGTGCAGGTCATGGCATCGAATCGCCCAATCGGCCGCCTTCAGGACCACGCGCCAAGATTTACGTGCATGTTAAGGAAACCAAGGTGGTCGAAAATTCCGGAGTTTTGACTACATGCGCTGTTTTAGGACGTTATTTTCCATCAACCAATATTATTGGCCACTAGCTTGACATTGGTCTTCACTGTATGCATAGCTCTACCGAGTGGCGAATGCTAATTAGTTATGTTCAGTTCAAGTAATATCGGCTTTTAGCCGCATCATTCTTCTACTGTATCAAATGGTTTTCCTGAAACATCGGGTGATTCCCTTTTAATTAGAGTAATCGCAGTTGATATTTAAACAGCTTTCATTATTTTGTTTTTAGGCTCTATTAAACTATATTTCTAAACTAAGTTATGGGCCCCATAACTTCTATATATACGCTTTAAATTATGACACTCATACTAGAACTTAGTAGTAATAGGCTGCGGTACTACGACACACCCTCTTTGAATGCGTTATGCGCTTTAACAAGCGTTATGCGCTTTAACATATTGTGGCATCCTTGCTGAAGAACCTACCATGTCCTTTTGAGTAAACTAATGAAGCTCTCACGTCGCAATTTCTTCATGCCTAGAATTATCTTCGCGCAGTGGCAATTTAAGCAATCATTTATGCCTGTCGCGTTAGAAAATATGGCGAGTTTTTACGAGTTTTCAATCACTCCGGCGTGGCCATGAAAGAACCATCAATGTCTTACAGCTAAATGCTTAGCGAGCGGTGTAATCATATATATATATATATATATATATATATATATATATATATATATATATATATATAATATATATATATATATATATATATATATATATATATATATATATATAGCGCTGACTATGTATTTCATCTTCATCCGTATGACCGAACTATTTTAGTGATTATCAACGTATGCCAAGCGGGCAAGGCTTCTTTGGCTCGTGCATCTGGATTGAAAATATAAACTGGTTACTGCCGTACTAGACGTGGTCTCATAAGTGGTGGAGCGTGCTTTGGTTCCCACGTCCTCCTGCTCTACCCATCACCCCTGGAGCTCCGGTCTGGTCGACGGTTGTGCCCTCAAGCACCAGCGATGGCAGAACCCAACGCGTCCGCTGCTGCAACGGCCCCTTCTCAGCCACTTAGGCTTCGCTACACCGTGAGAACCTCTCATCGAGACCCTCTGGTATTTTGCGGCCTTCGCGGTGAAGACGTCGAAGAATGGCTGGACAGTTATGATCGAACCAGCGTTTGTAATTATTAGGACGAGGCGCACAAACTGCGCTACGTTCCTTTTTACCTCAATGGCGTCACTAAAACCTGGTATTACTACCACGAGAGCGACTTCTCCAATTGGTCGGCCTTCACGGGGCATCTCCATCAGATATTTGGCACGTCTGCAGGATGCTCTGTGGCAGCGAAACAGAAGCTCGCAACCCGCATCCAGGGGGACGACGAATCATATACGTCCTACATTGAAGATGTTCTGGCTCTCTGTCGCCGAGCACAAAATGACATGACGGAGACGGAGCGCATCCGACACCGACTGAAAGGTATCAACTCTGTGGCCTTCAAAGCTCTCATTATCCAGAATCCAACTACCGTCCGGGTCGTCATCACCACATGTCAATGCCTGGACGCGCTTCATTCCATGCGCCTTCCACACGCCTCCTTTGATCCTCGCTTTACCGAAGAGCATAAATCGCGAGCCCTTATCCGCATAATTGTCAGAGTGGAATTCTGCGGTCTTATTCCAGGCAACCCAACCATTGCGTCTGTCCGCACACCTCCTCCCGGCCTGCGTGAGATAATCAAGGAAGAACTGGCATCAATGACAACCGCTGCACATGCCCCGTCTCTTGTGCGCTTTCCGGCGCCTTCGTACGCAGAAGTTTCATCACGGGCCCGTGCACCAGTTCCAACCGTGCCTGTGGACGTCGGATGCGACCATGCGGCTGCGATGACAACGCGAGTGCCAAAACCACGCCACTATTCTACATGGCATCCTCCACGCCCCATCTGCTTATACTGTGGCTTAAGGGGTCATATATCCCGTTTCTGCCGCCGCCGTCAGCCATATGAACGATGTGGTTATCCAGCTTACGAAAAAGACTTTGCCCCGAGACCCGATGAATACGATCCCGCACCGTATCCGTCCACCTCCTGTCGGTCGCCCTCCCCTCCACTGTTTTAAGCTGGGCCTCATCCTTCTCGTTTATCTCGCCGGCGTTCTCGGTCACCGTTTCAGCGTACGTCATCACCCCTGCCTCCCGCGCCAATCTCTCTGGACTGAAAACTATAAGCTGCAGGTTTTGGAGGGGAAACTGTTTGTTGTCGAAACGTTACAACTCCTCCGTCTCGTCCAGCTGATTTACTGCCTGTTTGTGTGGACGGGGTTTTTGTTGACGCCCTTATAGACACTGGAGCCGCCACTTCGGTAATTGATCGTGAATTGTGTTTTTGCCTGCGCAAAGTGCAAACTCCTTATGCTGGTCCCATTTTATGCGGCGCTATTGACAGTCCGATTCGCCCGACCGGATTGTGTACTGCTCGTGTTCTCATCGATGGAATCCGTCATCACATACAGTCGGCTGCGCTGTATTCGTGCGCTCATCAGATAATCTTAGGCTGGGACTTCTTGTCAGCTGCGTCAACTGTAATTTCGTGTGGTCGGCCCTCCATTCGTATTACGGACACTGAGTTTTTTTCTGCAGCTGACCTTTTGTCGCCCAACCTTGTCACAGCTGCGGATTTCCTCCTGCCTCCCGGACAATAACGTGTCCTTACGATCAAGTCACAAGACATTCTAGATGGTGACGCTGTGGTTGTTCCTTGCCAGCGTGGCATTTTTCGAGGGATCACCATCGCATCTTATTTAGTGCACTTCTCATGGGGTTATGCAAGCATCACCGCCTGAAACATGACGCCAGAACCACTACTTCTGCCAAAGAGGATCACTGTTGCCAGCATTACCGAACAAGCACCGGTTTGTGTCGTCACTGGTTCATCTGCTTTGTCATTCTCAAAGTGTATGCCAACGGAAGATTCATCTCCTACTCTCAAAGCCACTTTGTGTAAACATCTCAACCCAACGCAACCTCATGCCTTGCTAGCGCTAATAATGAAGTTCAAAACTTGCTTTGATGTATGTTCCGAAGGTTTCGGTCAAACAACAGTGGCCGCTCATCGTATCGACACAGACGAATCCCGTGTGATTCGCCGCCGCCCTTACTGTGTGTTGGCTTCTGAACGCAAGCTTACAGAAAAACAAGTCACCGACATGCTCGCGTGCAACGTCATCAGGCCTTCGACAAGCGCACGGTCTTCTCCTGTCGTACTAGTAAAA